AGAGGCAGGTGAGCGGTGCGGCAGAGCAGGTGAGCGGTGCGGCAGAGCAGGTGAGTGGTGCGGCAGAGCAGGTGAGTGGTGCGGCAGAGCAGGTGAGTGGTGCGGCAGAGCAGGTGAGTGGTGCGGCAGAGCAGGTGAGTGGTGCGGCAGAGCAGGTGAGTGGTGCGGCAGAGCAGGTGAGTGGTGCGGCAGAGCAGGTGAGTGGTGCGGCAGAGCAGGTGAGTGGTGCGGCAGAGCAGGTGAGTGGTGCGGCAGAGCAGGTGAGTGGTGCGGCAGAGCAGGTGAGTGTGCGGCAGAGCAGGTGAGTGGTGCGGCAGCGCAGGTGAGTGGTGCGGCAGAGCAGGTGAGTGGTGCGGCAGAGCAGGTGAGTGGTGCGGCAGAGCAGGTGAGTGGTGCGCAGAGCAGGTGAGTGGTGACAGCAGAGCAGGTGAGTGGTGCGGCAGAGCAGGTGAGTGGTGCAGCAGAGCAGGGCACGGGGTGTGTGGGTGCTGGACTCGCTGCTGATAGCCTGGTGCCTGGTGGTGGGGCGTGACGCCAGTAGCCCTGCTGTAGAGCACATGGGTGAGGTGACAGGGCATGGGGCGTGCCAGTGTGGTGGTCGAGGTATGCCAGTAAAGAAAAATCTCCTACACCAACGAAGCAACACAACGAAGGTGTAGACGACAAGCACGTCCGGAAAAAACCAGTCAAGATGGCTGAGGCTTACAACAAGAAGGGATGTGACGACAAGTATGATATGAAAGAAGAATGCCCAGAGCAGTAAGAGAACACCTTTAGATAAGATTTGAATGGAAACGGAGCCTTGAGAGGTGGATAAAAACAAAAGATCCAGGCAGGTATTGAACCCCGCTAATCGTCTATGATTGAGGTTTGTGCTACTGGTCCTGAGAGGAATACGTTTAGATCCAATATATAGTCATTGTTAAGCGTAGGCACATAAGCTAGAACCCTAACCTGTACGGGCGTCCATCGGCGTCAACCGCTAAGGCCGGCAGCTTTGCCATGAAGGGCAGTGTAGTGGCTAGGGCAGTGCGTATGCAACTAGAGTAGCGCGCTCGCAGCTAAGGCAGCCCGTGGGCAGCAAGGCATGCGAGGCGCAGTAGGTCGGGTGGGGCGCGGGCAGCGCGGGCGTGTGGGCTGCAGGGCAGCGCAGGCAGGGAAGCGCGCGGGCTGCAGGGTAGGGCGGCACACGGGCTGCAGGGCAGGGCGGCGTGCAGGCTGCAGAGCAGGGCCGCGCACAGGCTTCAGGGCAGGGCGGCGCGCGGGCTGCAAGGCAGGGCAGCGTGCAGGCTGCAGGGGAAGGCGGCGCGCGTGCAGAGCAGGGCGCTAGCAGGGCAACGTGCGGGTCGCGCGCTGAGCAGCAAGCGGGCAGCGCGCAGGGCAGGGCAGAGCGCGTGGGGCAAAGCAGGCAGGGCAGCGTGGGGGATGCTGTCCGGGCAGGGCAGGAACGAACGATTAGGGCAGTACGGGCTCTTCGAAGCTAGCGGTGGGCCCTAACGGAGCGGTCCTATGGAGGGACCTGCTCTGAATACTATGTCAGAAATAACGTGTAGGAATGATCGAGTAAGAGCATGCGATGAGTACAATTACTAGGTCTAACCCTTAAGTGTTTGTACTCAGTAGAGGCTACCCCATTACAACCTACAGACATACAAACACATGTGACACCTTGGCCTTCCAGCCGACGCGCCTGACTGGCAGTTTTACCACCCAGCCACCTTTAACTAGTCGATCTTCTACTACCGTCTCTACCCCCACCGCAGCTGCCCTGTGCCCTCCTCCGTCTCTTCCTGGTTCCAGGTCCCCCCCAGGTAGACCCCCCCCTCCCCCCTCGTCCTGCTCCTTGAGGTGTGTCTCACGCCACCCCACTCCCCTCGGTTGTGCCTTTGGAGGTCTCCTCAGACTCCTCTGGCCTGGCTTAGGGGGGTGACAATGCCGCTAACGATACAGCGGCTTCTCGCTACCTGCCGCGCTTGGAGACACCTTCTGGTTTTCCACCTCAGCCATCTCCGCCCCCCATTTCGCCACCTCCGCTGCAGCCTTTCGCTGTGGAATCCGGGGGCCCTGGTGCTGTTGGGAGTGGAGACTCTGGAGGTGTGGGTTTTGTGGGTGCTGGTTCTGTGGGTGCTGCCTCAAGGGGTCTAAGGGTCCTCGCGTTGGTGGGGTTGAGGGTGTTGCTGCTAGAGGTTCTGGGGGTGCTAATTCTGGAGGTGAATCTAAAATGACAGTTAGAGTGAATATAGAACGAGAGAGGTGAATATATCAGAGAATTATAGCATTTCGAATCAAATTAAGCTACTAACTGTCCTAACTAGCCATGTACCAAAAAAAAAAGAAATGGTTGACCAACCTTGAACATTCAACTCAAAGCCCTTGCAACCCTCATTGCCAATCACACCTGATTGACTAAATTGTGTATATGGCTAAGATAGCAAGTGATGTGAGTTGTGATAGTAGTGTGGGTGGAATAGCGAATATCAAAGATGTGCCTCAAAGTCCTTGTAAAACAAATGAAAACGTAGGCAGGATATAACGGGGACCCTAAATAGGCAGTGACCTCGGAAATCAAAGTTTCACACATGTTGCGCGCGAAGTCTGAAAACGACACGATATAGCTGTTGGTTAGATGGCACAGGTCCAAAACTTTCTGTTTGAAAGTTGGAATTGTTCGACACGCAACGAAACTCAGTAAAGAAAAATCTCCTACACCAACGAAGCAACACAACGAAGGTGTAGACGACAAGCACGTCCGGAAAAAGCCAGTCAAGATGGTTGAGGCTTACAACGAGAAGGGATGCGACGACGAGTATGATATGAAAGAAGAATGCCCCAGAGCAGTAAGAAAACACCTTTAGATAAGATTTGAATGGAAACGGAGCCTTGAGGTGGATAAACAAAAGGACCAGGCGGGTATTGAACTCGCTGATCAAGCATTGATTGGAAATTTGTGCTACTGGTCCTGACGGCAATGGTGTTTAGTTGTATCCTATGCGTTGTTGTGCAAATCAGCCATTGAGCGTTTCCCTCGTTTGATCGGTAGCCACGGCCATACAATCGCACATGGGTCGCGGAAAGCGCGAGGTGGAGGGCAATCGGAGCGGTAATGGAGGTCGGGGGAAATCGAAGCGGCACAAGTCGCGATACCTGAACGCTGTGAGCCTTTAAACTTATGTCGCGACGCATTAGTCAACATAAACCGGCAGGCGTGTACCAATGTTTTTCTTGGCTGACAGACGAATAACGACGATAATCAGCGACAATTCTGCAGGCGCGTTCAGTCGCGTTTCGGTCGCGAGTCGCGGCAGCATCCGTTGCGCGTCGCCGCTGCTATGATCTTGGCGGCGTCGCCGCTGTGATCTCCGCGGCGGCGTGCGCTCACCAGCTCGATCCGCCCCACTTCCCGCCCTTCCTCTTCAACCCCTTCCCCCCCTTTCCTTTCGTGCCCTCTCCTCCCGCTCGCGCACACACCTCCGTCTTCCCTCCCCCCTTCTCTTCTCCTCCTCCCATCGTGTGCTCCCACGGCGCCGCCTCTCCCGTCTGGTCTGAGATCGCCTTGATCACTTAGGTTTACACAGAGCAGAATTTTCCGCTGTCGCCTCTCCCCTCTGGTCCTGATATCGCTTTGAGCACTTGGTTTTACACAGAGCGGATTTTCCCGCCGTCGCCTCTCTCCTCTGGTCCTCACCCGTCCGGCCCGTGTCGCCCGCTGTCCCCCTTCCCCTCCCCCCACCCCTGCTGTCCCCCTTCCCCTCCCCCCCACCCCCGCCGTCTCTCTTCCCTCCCACATCCTGGCCCACGAATCTCCGTTGCCATGCAACCAAAACCCGAAACTCTTGGTTGTTGCTCGCTCTCTCCCATGCACCCAAAACCCGAAACCCTTTGTTGTTGCTCGCTCTCTCCCATGCACCCAAAACCCCAACCTCGATCTCCTCTTTCGAAGTGGCGGCGGGCAGCAGCAGGCAGGGAGCGAGAGTGCAGGTGAAGGATCGATTGTTTCTTCCTTTGCTCCTTCACCCTAAACCCTATGATCCAGAATGGGGGGAAGGCGGCGCCCAGAATGTATGGCAGCAAGGGGGCTGGCAGGGGGAGGGATTGGAGGTGGTTTGCAACCGTTTCTTACTTCTGCTCCCCCCCCTTCTGCTCCTCTCCTCCTCTCCCTTCTGTGCCCCCCCCTGCTGTTCCTCCTCACCCTTCTCCCCTCCCCCATTTCTCCTCCTCCCCCTTCTCCTCCTCCCCATTCTTCTCCTCCCCCCTCTGCTCCTCCGTCTTCTGCTCCTCCCCCCTCTGCTCCTTCTGCTCCGCCCCTCCCCCTCGTGCCCCTCCCCCTTCTGCTCCTCCCTCTCGTGCCCCACAGAGCGGGGGGGGAGCGGGCCCCATCGCGAATGGCAACAGGGGGTGGTTGGTGTGGAGTGTGACCAGCAGGGAGAGAGAGTGCGGGCTTGTTGTTGTTGGAGTCGAAACAAAGTAAATTGTTCCTTTGATCCTCCTCCCCTCTTCGGCGCCTCCCTCTCGTGCGCCTCAGAGTGGAGGGGGAGCGGGCCCTATCACGAATGGCAACAGGGGGTGGCTGGTGTCGAGTGTGACCGGCAGGGAGAGAGAGTGCGGGCGGGAGATTGTGAACGTGCTCGATGAGGTGAGGCACGAGCACACAGTGAGGGAGAGGAGGAGGGGGGGGGGGGGGGGCTGGTAAGAGGTGGTCAGGAGATCAGCTTGTGAGGTGACATGCACAGGGGATCAGGTGAGGCGGCAAGGAGGTGAGTGGGGCGCACAGGCAAACGATAGAACCTGGAGGGTAGGTAGATAGATGACTGGGCAAGCATTGGGGAAGGTGGCTGTGGAGGGCCTATCTGACTGAACTGTTTTTGCCTTTCTTCCTTCCATCTCCCCTGCTTGCCCCACACGCCGTTGTGCGGCGGCAAGCTGGTGCCCGTGAAGGCGCGGGCTGAGGGGGAGGCAAGCACTGGGGAAGGTGGCTGGGGAGGGCTTATCTGACTGAGCTGATGTTGCTTAATCCCTGTTCGCCCCACACACAGTGGTGTGACAAGCTGGAGGCTGGCAAGGCGCAGGGGGAGGGGGAGGGGGGAGGCACGGACTGGGGAAGGTGCATCTGCAGGGAAGGCGAAGGGGGGTTCGTCCATCGATGCGCTGCTGGCGAATGAAGTGGCAGCACTCAAGAAACAGGTGCGTGCGTGTGGAGAGGGGGTTGAGGAAACAGGTGTGTGTGTTTTGCAGCGGCTCACAGGTGCGTGGGATGGGTAGGTGGGTGCCTTTTCCCTCCTTTCCCCTTGTTGTTCCTTCACCCTCCCCTTATCTCCCTCCCACTCCCTCCCCTCGTATCCCTCCCTCTCCCTGTGTCCCCCAGGCTCGATTGCAATCGTGACCTCAGGCTACCAGGTGCCCCTGTTTTGAGACGTCTCAGGCTACCAGGTGCCCCTGTTTTGAGACGTCTCAGGCTACCAGGTGCCCCTGTTTTGTTCCCCTTGTGCATCCTCGCCTCCTTGTTCCCTCCTTTTTCTTCTCCCTCCCTTCCTTGTGCATGCCCCTCAGCCTCGGTTCATGAGTGTGTAGTCTGGGTGCAAGGCGCTGCTGTTCGCATAAATGCCCAGCACAAACACCCATCACTTCCCTCTCTCGCAATCCTCTTTTCCCTCCCTCTTCCTCCCCTTGCCCCTCTTCTTGTCCCTCCCCTTGTCCTGAACGCTCTCACCTGGTGACTTTTGAGTCGACACAAAAGTCACCTGACTGAACGCTCTCACCTGGTCTCACTTCGGGGTGTGGAGTCTCGCTGGCTGCAAGGCGCTGCTGTTTGGACTCTTGCTGGCTGCAAGGCGCCGCTGTTTGCGAGAATGCTAAGTGGAAACCCTTATCGCTCCTCCTCTCTCTCCCATCGTCTTTCTCCCTCCCCTTGCCCCTACCGTTTGCCCTCCCCTCGCCCCTCCTGTTCGCCCGCCCCTTGACATCCCTCAGCCTCGGTTGTGAGTGTGGAGTCTGGGTGCAAGGCACTGCTGTTTGAGAAAAAAACGTTTTTTTTTTTTCCTTTGTCCCTCGTCTTGTCCCTCCCCTTCCCTCTCAGCCTCGGTTTGTGAGTGTGGAGTCTAGGTGCAAGGCGCCGCTGTTTCTGAGGATCCATCATCACCCCTCCCTCTCCCTCTCACTCCCCTTTCTCTGCTCGTCTTTCCTCCCTCCCCTTGCCCCTGCTGTTCGCCCTCCCCTCGACATCCCACAGCCTTGGTTCGCGAGTGGGGACTCTGGGTGCAAGGCGCTGCTGTTCGTGAGAATGCTCAGTGCAATTTCCAATCACGTCTCCTCTCCCTCCGCTCGTCTTTCTCCCTCCACTCGTCTTTCTCCCTCCCCTTGCCCCTACCATTCGCCCGCCCCTTGACGTCCCTCAGCCTCGGTTCGTGAGTGTGGAGTCTGGGTGCAAGGCACTGCTGTTCGTGAGGATTAGAGAGGATGCCAGGAAGGGGGGGAAGGGAGAGAAGGGAGGAAAGCAGTTGGAGGAGGGAGAGGAGGAGGAGGAGGGTGAGAAGGAGGAGGTGGGGAAGACGGAGGAAGGGGAAAAGGAGGAGGAGAAGGGTGAAGGAGACAAGGAGGGGAAGGAGGGGGATAAGGCCGGGGAAAAGGAGCAGGAGAAAGAGCAGGAGGAAGAGGTTACAGGAGGAGGAGAGAAGGAACCGGAGAAGGAGGGACAGGGAGGGGAGGGGGAGAAAGGGGAGGCAGGGGGAGAGCAGGGAAGGGTGTCGCCGTGTGAGTTGGCAGAGGCGGTGCTGCGGCATGCCAAGGCCACCCAGCAGTCAGCCACTCGGTGGGTGTGGGGTAGTGGGTGTGGGGCAGTGGGTGTGGGGCAGTGGGTGTGGGGCAGTGGGTGTGGGGCAGTGGGTGTGGGGCAGTGGGTGTGGGGCAGTGGGTGTGGGGCAGTGGGTGTGGGGCAGTGGGTGTGGGGCAGTGGGTGTGAGGCAGTGGGTGTGGGGCAGTGGGTGTGGGGCAGTGGGTGTGGGGCAGTGGGAGTGAGGCAGTGGGTGTGGGGCAGTGGGTGTGGGGCAGTGGGTGTGGGGCAGTGGGTGTGGGGCAGTGGGTGTGGGGCAGTGGGTGTGAGGAAAGCACGTCTCATCACTTCACCCCCCTGCCCTTGTCACTTCACCCCCCTGCCCTTGTCACTTCACCCCCCTGCCCTTGTCACTTCACCCCCCCTGCCCTTGTCACTTCACCCCCCTGCCCTTGTCACTTCACCCCCCTGCCCTGGTCACTTATCCTGCCTACCTGTAGTGAACTTGTGCCAGTTTCTTCTTTCTCCCCCTCTTTGATTCAATTCTCACTCTCCCTTCAGTTCTGTCACTCATTATCCCCTACGTTTGCACCTGCCCTGCCCACACCCTACATACACCACCCCTTACATACACTGCCCTGGCTCCCACTCTGGTCAACATCTTGACATACGTATTTCAGGAGGAGGGCCCCCGGACCACCTGGAATCATCTTGATCACATTCCTTGCAACGCTTCTGCTTTGCAGTGCCCAAGATACCCGAGTACTTCACTGTATGGCCACTCCTTCTCACACTCTCCTTCTCACACCCTCCTTCTCTCACTCTCCTTCTCACACTCTCCTTCTGTGTGCAAATCAAAACAAGCAGCGCATATCGTCTCTCTCATCCCCCCTTGCTCTCCCTTCTGCTCTCCTCTCCTTCCCCCTTACTCCCCTCCCCCTCCTCAGGCGGCAAGGCGACAACATGAGCGTAATCGGAAAGGTGATGGCAGAAAGCTTGCTTGTGATTGGTTTAATAAGCAGAAATGGGGTACAAGAGAGGGGAAGAAAACCCCCCTAAAATCCTGAAAAAAACCCCCCCACAGCCCCCCCAAGGCCCCCCTAAGGCCCCCCTACCCCCCAATTCTCCTCACAGCCCCTCACAGCCCCCCTCGAACCGCCCTGGAAATCCCTGGGCATGGCCCATGCATATCTGCTCCCTGTCATATCACATTCCTGCTTCTGCGTCTACTTTGTGCTTCCTACTATCTATCATATCCCTCCCGGGCATGGCATGGCATGGCATGGCCAACCAGGGATGGGCGCACAGCACAGAGAGCCAAGAGCTCATCCACCACTCCCTCTTCTGTTCTGCTTCTGCTCCCCACTCTCCTCCCTTTTCCCTCACCCCTCCCCCCTTTCTCTGCCCGCCTGCGGATATAATAACAAGCACATACATTCATATTCGCTAGGTCATCAAATCTATAAGTCATCTATCACTCTACGCGTCGTAGCAAATAGCCTCGTGTTGTAGACAGAAGAAAATGGCACATGCGCTCCCTCCTTGTGCGTCTGTTTCTCTCTCTTCTTCTCCCTCATGTCCTGCCCTGCGCATGGCTGAACACAAGCAGGTGGCAACACATCTACTCCCTGATTCCGTTTCTGCCACTCTTTCATATCCCAAACCTGGCCCAAACCAAACCTGCACTCCCCCCATCCCCCTGCACATATAATAACAGGCTCATACATTTATGTTCCTAACGTAATCAGATTCATCAATCCCTACCACTCTACACATTGCAAGCCAAGTGTCTTCGTCTTGGCGACAGGAGGGAAGCTGGCACCTGCGCAAGGGGAGGGGGGGAGTTGGGGTGGGGGAGAGGGGAAGCGGAGCAAGTGAGCGGGGGGAGCAGGGCAAGTGAGGGGATGGCAGGAGGTGTGAGGGCATGGTGGGATGGCAGGTGTGAGGGATATGGCAAGGTGTGCAGTGCATGCTCTGGGGCGACTCACAACGCACCTGGGGCCGGTTTGGTGGGCCATGCAGCATGGCATGGCGCTGCGCTCCCTCCTCCTGCTTCTGTTTCTCTCCCTTGTTCTCTCTCATGTCCCGCGCATGGATGATGAGGGACGGCCGCACAAGCAGCTGGCAACGCATCTGCTCCCTGTGCAAAGTATCTTCATCTTGGCGACAGGAGAAACTGGCACCTGCGCAAGGGGAGGGGAGGAGTTGGGGTGGGGGAGCAGAGCAAGTGAGCGGGGGAGCAGGGCAAGTGAGCGGGGGGAGCACCCTAAACCCCCTTACCCCCTTACCTGGCAGGAAATGAAAGTCACCATGCAGGGAATGCAACCCACCAGCCAGGGCATGAACAGGCACCATGCAGGGCATGTGAAGGCACCGTGCAACATGCGAAGGCACCTTGCAGGGCATGAGAAGGCACCTGGCAGAAGGGGTAAAGTGGGAAAAGAGGGGAGGGGGTGGGTGAGACAAGCTCAAATGGGCAGGCGCTGCACTGGCAGCTGGCAGAAAAAGGGAGGGGAGAGGGTGGCTTGGACGTCTCACAGTTCCCCATGCCCCCTTACACCCCCCCCCTTGAGCAAAGAATGCACACAGGAACAACAAACAAGCAAGCAAAACAAACTGAAACAGACAAACAAACAAACAAACAGGAAATATTGGGATGGAAAGAGGGGACGGGGTGAGTGAGACCTCTTCAATCAACATGCGCTACACTGGCACCTGCTGGAAACGGGAGGACAGAGGGGAGGTGTTGAGTGTGACACCTCAAAACATTATGCCTTGCACTGGCACCTGCTGGAAACGGGAGGACAGAGGGGAGGTGTTGAGTGTGACACCTCAAAACATTATGCCTTGCACTGGCACCTGCTGGAAAGGGGAGGAAAATGGCATCATGCAAGGAATGAGAAAGGCATCATGCAGGGAACGGCAAGGCACCTTGAGGGAATGAGAAGGCACATGATTTTTATGTGCCCTAGTACATTGTTTTGCTTTTGTGTTCATACATTCATGCATCGTTCTGGTTCGCTCTTACCACGTGGGCGTGCGCGTCAGCCTGCCCCGCCCCGTGCTGCACTGTCACGCCCCGCTGGCAGCTGCTGAAACACGGGGAGGGAGGGAGGGAGGGAGGGAGGGAGGGAGGGAGGGAGGAGAGGGGAGGGGAGGGGAGATGAGGCGTTGGTCAAATGACTCAAAACAGAGGGGAGAGAGGAGGGGATTTGTCAAATGACTCAAAACAAAGAGGAGAGAGGAGGGAATTGGTTAAATGACTCAAAACAAATAGGAGAGAGGAGGGGATTGGTCAAATGACTCAAAACAGAGGAGAGAGGAGAGGATTGGTCAGAGGACTCAAAACAGAGGGGAGAGAGTAAGGGATTGGTCAAATGACTCAAAACAGGGGGAAGAGAGGAGGGGATTGGTCAAATGACTCAAAACAAAGAGGAGTGAGGAGGGGATTGGTCAAATGACTCAAAACAGAGGGGAGAGAGGAGGGGATTGGTCAAATGACTCAAAACAAAGAGGAGAGAGGAGGGGATTGGTCAAATGACTCAAAACAAAGGGGAGAGAGGAGGGGATTGGTGAAATGACTCAAAACAAAGAGGAGAGAGGAGGGGATTGGTCAAATGGCTCAAAACAGAGGGGAGAGAAGAAAGGATTGGTCAAATGACTCAAAACAGAGGGGAGAGAGGAGGGGACTGGTCAAATGATTCACAACATAGGGGAGAGAGGAGGGGATTGGTCAAATGACTCAAAACAAGAGGAGAGAGGAGGGGATTAGTCAAATGACTCAAAACAAAGAGGAGAGAGGAGAGGATTGGTCAAATGGCTCAAAACCGAGGGGAGAGAAGAGGGGATTGGTCAAATGACTCAAAACAGAGGGGAGAGAGGAGGGGATTAGTCAAATGATTCAAAACAGAGGGGAGAGAGGAGGGGATTGGTCAAATGACTCAAAACAAATATGAGAGAGGAGGGATTGTTCAAATGACTCAAAACAGAGGAGAGAGGAGAGGATTGGTCAAAGGACTCAAAACAGAGGGGAGAGAGTAGGGGATTGGTCAAATGACTCAAAACAGGGGAAAAGAGGAGGGGATTGGTCAAATGACTCAAAACAAAGAGGAGAGAGGAGGGGATTGGTCAAATGGCTCAAAACAAAGAGGAGAGAGGAGGGGATTGGTCAAATGACTCAAAACAAAGGGGAGAGAGGAGGGGATTAGTGAAATGACTCAAAACAAAGAGGAGAGAGGAGGGGATTGGTCGAATGGCTCAAAACAGAGGAGAGAGAAGAGGGGATTGGTCAAATGACTCAAAACAGAGGGGAGAGAGGAGGGGACTGGTCAAATGATTCAAAACAGAGGGGGAGAGAGGAGGGATTGGTCAAATGACTCAAAACAAAGAGGAGAGAGGAGGGGATTGGTCAAATTACTCAAAACAAAGAGGAGAGAGGAGGGGATTGGTCAAATTACTCAAAACTGAGGGGAGAGAGGAGGGGATTGGTCAAATGAGTCAAATCAAAGAGGAGAGAGGAGGGGATAGGTGAATGACTCAAAACAAAGAGAGAGGAGGGGATTGGTCAAATTACTCAAAACAAATAGGAGAGAGGAGGGGATTCGTCAAATGACTCAAAACAAAGAGGAGAGAGGAGGGGATTGGTCAAATGGCTCAAACCGAGGGGAGAGAAGAGGGGATTGGTCAAATGACTCAAAACAGAGGGGAGAGAGGAGGGGGATTAGTCATATGATTCAAAACAGAGGGGAGAGAGGAGGGGATTTGTCAAATGACTCAAAACAAATATGACAGAGGAGGGGATTGGTCAAATGACTCAAAACAAAGAGGAGAGAGAAGGGGATTGGTCAAATGACTCAAAACAGATAGGAGAGAGGAGGGGATTGGTGAAATGACTCAAAACTGAGGGGAGAGAGGAGGGGATTGGTCAAATGACTCAAAACAAAGAGGAGAGAGAGGAGGGGATTGGTGAAATGACTCGAAACAAAGAGGAGAGAGGATGGAATTGGTTTAAATGACTCAAAACGAATAGGAGAGATGAGGGGATTGGTCAAATGACTCAAAACAGAGGGGAGAGAGTAGGGGATTGGTAAAATGACTCAAAACAGGGGGAAGAGAGGAGGGGATTGGTCAAATGACTCAAAACAAAGAGGAGAGAAGAGGGGATTGGTCAAATTACTCAAAACAGAGGGGAGAGAGTAGGGGATTGGTCAAATGACTCAAAACAGGGGGAAGAGAGGAGGGGATTGGTCAAATGTCTCAAAACAAAGAGGAGAGAGGAGGGGATTGGTCAAATGACTCAAACAGAGGGGAGAGAGGAGGGGATTGGTCCAAATGACTCAAAACAAAGAGGAGAGAGGAAGGTATTGGTCAAATTACTCAAAACAAAGGGAGAGGGGAGGGGATTGGTCAAATGGCTCAAAAACAGAGCGGAGAGAAGAGGGGATTGGTCAAATGACTCAGAACAGAGGGGAGAGACGAGGGGATTGGTCAAATGATTCAAAACAGAGGGGAGAGACGAGGGGATTGGTCAAATGACTCAAAACAAAGAGGAGGAGGGGATTGTGAAAAGACTCAAAACTGAGGGGAGAGAGGAGGGGGAATTGGTCAAATGAGTCGAAACAAAGAGGAGAGAGGAGGGGATAGGTGAAATGACTCAAAAACAGAGAGAGAGGAGGGGATTGGTAAAATGACTCAAAACAAATAGGAGAGAGGAGGGGATTGGGACAAATGACTCCAAACAAATAGGAGAGAGGAGGGATTGTCAAATGACTCAAAACAGAGAGAAGAGAGGAGGGAATTGGTGAAATGACATCAAAAACTGAGGGGAGAGAGGAGAGGGATTGGTCAAATGACTCAAAACAAAGAGGGAGAGAGAGGAGGGGATTGGTGAAAATGACCTCGAAAACAAGAGGAGAGAGGAGGGAATTGGTTAAATGACTCAAAACGAATAGGAGAGATGAGGGATTGGTCAAATGACTCAAAAACAGAGGGGAGAGAGTAGGGGATTGGTCAAATGACTCAAAACAGGGGGAAGAGAGGAAGGGATTGGTCAAGATGACTCAAAACAAAGAGGAGAGATGAGGGGATTGGTCAAAATGACTCAAAACAGAGGGGAGAGAGAGGGGATTGGTCAAATGACTCAAACAGGGGGAAGAGAGGAGGGGGATTTGGTCAAATGACTCAAAACAAGAGGAGAGAGGAGGGGATTGGTCAAATGACTCAAAACAGAGGGGAGAGAGGAGGGGATTGGTCAAATGACTCAAAACAAAGAGGAGAGAGGAGGGGATTGGTCAATGACTCAAAAACAAAGGGGACAGAAGAGGGGATTGGTCAAATGACTCACAACGCACCTGGGGCTGGTTTGGTGGGCCATGCGGCATGGCATGGCGCTGCGCTCCCTCCTCCTGCTTCTGTTTCTCTCCCTTGTTCTCTCTCATGTCCGCGCATGGATTGAACAGGGACGGCCACACAAGCAGCTGGCAACGCATCTGCTCCCTGTGCAAAGTATCTTCATCTTGGCGACAGGAGAAACTGGCACCTGCGCAAGGGGAGGGGAGGAGTTGGGGGTGGGGGAGCAGAGCAAGTGAGCGGGGGGAGCAGGGCAAGTGAGCGGGGGGAGCACCCTAAACCCCCTTACCCCCTTACCTGGCAGGAAATGAGAAGGCACCATGCAGGGAATGCGAATGCACCTGGCAGGGCATGCCAAGGCACCATGCAGGGCATGAGAATTTACCGGGCAGGGCATGAGAAGGCACCATGCAGGGCATGGGAAGGCACCTGGCAGAAGGGGGAAGTGGGGAAAGAGGGGATGGGGGGTGGGTGAGACATGCTCAAATGGGCAAGCGCTGCACTGGTACCTGGCAGAAAGGGGAGGGGAGAGGGTGGCCTGGATGTCTCAATGTTCCCCAGAGCGCCATGAGCAGCGCCGTCGTTGTCGTTGGCGTGTCAGCGGCATGGCAATCGGCGTGACAGCGGCGTGGCATCGGCGTCCTGAAGCGGAGCTAAACGGAAATCGCCATGTTGGTGGCAGATTTTGGATGTGGAATGCCGCATTGCTGCTGGCTCCTGGAACGGCAGATGACGAGCTTGTGCTGGCTGCAGCGTGCCTGCCATGACCATGCACACGTCAGCAGCAGGAACAAGGACAAGCAGAAATCGGAATAAACGGAGCTAAGAAGAGGGAATCTACGAAGAAAACGAAATTACTGGAAACAAGACTGAAGATAGCGTGAGTAAGAAAGCGGGCTTAATACAAATACTAATGCCATGGCACATGGCGGATGGCGATCCAAAAGAGAGGCTGCGCTCTTGAGTAGAATGGCTTGAGATTGAAAACGAGATCTGGAAAAAAAAAAAAGAATAGCAAATGAAATCACGAAAAAAACGAAACGTAGCGAGATAGCGTGACTGGCGACTAAGAAGCAGGCTTACGAAATGGTGATATGCCATGCCCCATGGCGGAGGGCGATCTAGAAGAGAGGCTCGGATGTTGAGTTGAGATAGAGTGGCGGATGATAAGACATCGAGGTCTGAAAAACGGGAGTGGGAGTTAGGTGAGCGATTGTGAGCCCAGCCACTCACATCACGTTTCGTGCACTTTCTGGCTTGCTTGGCCCCCCTGAACGAGACGTGGGTTCGTGGTGGCAAAGTGGATGTACTGAAGTAGCGTTCTGCACAGTGCTACGTCGGCAGCGCAGTGACAAAGTCGGAAAAGTCGGTTTGGGGTGCCCTGCGTATATGCAGTCCGACACTCCGATACAGCGAGTGCGACCCAAAGTCAATGTGCCAGCATTTACAGTGACAAATTCGCAGCGCGAATAGGTTTCGCTCCGTCAGCTGTGGCCCAAAACGAGAACAGCAAAAACAGTATCTTGCAAAACTACAGCTTTCCACATGGCAGTAAACAGAAATTGATTTTGCTGATTTACAAGCTACACATGTTAGTTGACAAATCTATTTGGGTAATCTGGAGCTTATGCATGTAGGTCAACAAATCAATGACAAATTAGCTCTGGAATAATGAGCTGAATATTAAGGAATGTGCGCATCTGCATGCGTATACGCATGAATACTCGCATGTCCTGGTACCTACCTGTTTAACCTAGATGCGCGTAGACATACGTATGCATGCGTACGTATGCCTTCATGCACGTAGTGCGTCTACCTACCGTACACACTCGTACGCGACGCATATGTACATAACCGTACATGCACCAACGCGTACGCACTTCGTACGACCGACCTTTTTCTTTGCCCGCGCAAAGAGAGCCGTTGATATCGTCTCGCCGGGGACAATCGCTCTTGCTCGACTGATCGTCAAGTGTGACCGATTTTCGCCATTCAGCACCGTGGTTACGCCAACAGATTGATTGGTTGGATGCTGACCGGGACAAGCTTCACTTCCACCATTGGGCTGGGATAGAAAGAGAGAGAGACACGAAGTCAGCGAGCGACATAGAGGGAGTGATGGAGGTGCAAGGAAGAGAATGGGTGTTGAGCCTCAGTTGTTAAGGAGGTTTAGGGGGTGCAGAGATGCCCGAGAGCAGGTGAGTGGTGCGGCAGAGCAGGTGAGTGGTGCGGCCAGAGCAGGTGAGTGGTGCGGCAGAGCAGGTGAGGGTGCGGCAGCAGAGCAGGTGAGTGGTGCGGCAGAGCAGGTGAGTGGTGCGGCAGAGCAGGTGAGTGGTGCGGCAGAGCAGGTGAGTGGTGCGGCAGAGCAGGTGAGTGGTGCGGCAGAGCAGGTGAGTGGTGCGCAGAGCAGGTGAGTGGTGCGGCAGAGCAGGTGAGTGGTGCGGCAGAGCAGGTGAGTGGTGCGGCAGAGCAGGTGAGTGGTGCGGCAGAGCAGGTGAGTGGTGCGGCAGAGCAGGTGAGTGGTGCGGCAGAGCAGGTGAGTGGTGCGGCAGAGCAGGTGAGTGGTGCGGCAGCTCACGTGTGTCGTGCAGCAGAGCAGGTGAGTGGTGCGGCAGAGCAGGTGAGTGGTGCGGCAGAGAGGTGAGTGGGGGAGTGAGTGGTGCAGCAGAGCAGGTGAGTGGTGCGGCAGAGCAGGTGAGTGGTGCGGCAGAGCAGGTGAGTGGTGCGGCAGAGCAGGTGAGTGGTGCGGCAGAGCAGGTGAGTGGTGCGCAGAGCAGGTGAGTGGTGCGGCAGAGCAGGTGAGTGGTGCGGCAGAGCAGGTGAGTGGTGCGGCAGAGCAGGTGAGTGTGCGGCAGAGCAGGTGAGTGGTGCGGCAGAGCAGGTGAGTGGTGCGGCAGAGCAGGTGAGTGGAGCGGCAGAGCAGGTGAGTGGTGCGGCAGAGCAGGTGAGCGTGCGGCAGAGCAGGTGAGTGGTGCGGCAGAGCAGGTGAGTGGAGCAGCAGAGCAGGTGAGTGGTGCGGCAGAGCAGGTGAGTGGTGCGGCAGAGCAGGTGAGTGGAGCGGCAGAGCAGGTGAGTGGTGCGGCAGAGCAGGTGAGTGGTGCGGCAGAGCAGGTGAGTGGTGCGGCAGTGCAGGTGAGTGGTGCGGCAGAGCAGGTGAGTGGTGCGGCAGAGCAGGTGAGTGGTGCGGCAGAGCAGGTGAGTGGTGCGGCAGAGCAGGTGAGTGGTGCTGAGTGGTGGGTGGCAGAGCAGGTGAGTGGTGCGGCAGAGCAGGTGAGTGGTGCGGCAGAGCAGGTGAGTGGTGCGGCAGAGCAGGTGAGTGGTGCGGCAGAGCAGGTGAGTGGTGCGGCAGAGCAGGTGAGTGGTGCGGCAGAGCAGGTGAGTGGTGCGGCAGAGCAGGTGAGTGGTGCGGCAGAGCAGGTGAGTGGTGCGGCAGAGCAGGTGAGTGGTGCGGCAGAGCAGGTGAGTGGTGCGGCAGAGCAGGTGAGTGGTGCGGCAGAGCAGGTGAGTGGCGGCAGAGCAGAGCAGGTGAGTGGTGCGGTAGAGCAGGTGAGTGGTGCGGCAGAGCAGGTGAGTGGTGCGGCAGAGCAGGTGAGTGGTGCGGCAGAGCAGGTGAGTGGTGCGGCAGAGCAGGTGAGTGGTGCGGCAGAGCAGGTGAGTGGTGCGGCAGAGCAGGTGAGTGGTGCGGCAGAGCAGGTGAGTGGTGCGGCAGAGCAGGTGAGTGGTGCGGCAGAGCAGGTGAGTGGTGCGGCAGAGCAGGTGAGGGTGCGGCAGAGCAGGTGAGTGGTGCGGCAGAGCAGGTGAGTGGTGCGGCAGAGCAGGTGAGAGTGGTGCGGCAGAGCAGGTGAGTGGTGCGGCAGAGCAGGTGAGTGGTGCGGCAGAGCAGGTGAGTGGTGCGGCAGAGCAGGTGAGTGGTGCGGCAGAGCAGGTGAGTGGTGCGGCAGCAGAGCAGGTGAGTGGTGCGGCAGAGCAGGTGAGTGGTGCGGCAGAGCAGGTGAGTGGTGGGCAGAGCAGGTGAGTGGTGCGGCAGAGCAGGTGAGTGGTGCGGCAGAGCAGGTGTGAGTGCGCAGAGGGGCAGGGGTGCGTGAGTGGTGCGGGTGAGCAGGCAGGATGGTGCGTGGTGCGTGCAGCAGAGCTGTGAGTGGTGCGGCAGAGCAGGTGAGTGGTGCGGCAGAGCAGGTGAGTGGTGCGGCAGAGCAGGTGAGTGGTGCGGAGAGCAGGTGAGTGGTGCGGCAGAGCAGGTGAGTGGTGCGGCAGAGCAGGTGAGTGGTGCGGCAGAGCAGGTGAGTGGTGCGGCAGAGCAGGTGAGTGGTGCGGCAGAGCAGGTGAGTGGTGCGGCAGAGCAGGTGAGTGGGCGGCAGAGCAGGTGAGTGGTGCGGCAGAGCAGGTGAGTGGTGCGGCAGAGCAGGTGAGTGGTGCAGCGAGCAGAGCAGGTGAGTGGTGCGGCAGAGCAGGTGAGTGGTGCAGCAGAGCAGGTGAGTGGTGCGGCAGAGCAGGTGAGTGGTGCGGCAGAGCAGGTGAGTGTGCGGCAGAGCAGGTGAGTGGTGCGGCAGAGCAGGTGAGTGGTGCGGCAGAGCAGGTGAGTGGTGCGGCAGAGCAGGTGAGTGGTGCGGCAGAGCAGGTGAGTGGTGCGGCAGAGCAGGTGAGTGGTGCGGCAGAGCAGGTGAGTGTGCGCAGCAGAGCAGGTGAGTGGTGCGGCAGAGCAGGTGAGTGGTGCGGCAGAGCAGGTGAGTGGTGCGGCAGAGCAGGTGAGTGGTGCGGCAGAGCAGGTGAGTGGTGCGGCAGAGCAGGTGAGTGGGCGGCAGAGCAGAGCAGAGTGAGTGGTGCGGCAGAGCAGGTGAGTGGTGCGGCAGAGCAGGTGAGTGGTGCGGGCAGAGCAGGTGAGTGGTGCGGCAGAGCAGGTGAGTGGTGCGGCAGAGCAGGTGAGTGGGTGCGGCAGAGCAGGTGAGTGGTGCGGCAGCAGAGCAGGTGAGTGGTGCGGCGGCAGAGCAGGTGAGTGGTGCGGGCAGAGCAGGTGAGTGGTGCGGCAGAGCAGGTGAGTGGTGCGGGCAGAGCAGGTGAGTGGTGCGGCAGAGCAGGTGAGTGGTGCGGCAGAGCAGGTGAGTGGTGCGGCAGAGCAGGTGAGTGGTGCGGCAGAGCAGGTGAGTGGTGCGGCAGAGCAGGTGAGTGGTGCGGCAGAGCAGGTGAGTGGTGCGGCAGAGCAGGTGAGTGGTGCGGCAGAGCAGGTGAGTGGTGCGTCAGAGCAGGTGAGTGGTGCGGCAGAGCAGGTGAGTGGTGCGGCAGAGCAGGTGAGTGGTGCGGCAGAGCAGGTGAGTGGTGCGGCAGAGCAGGTGAGTGGTGCGGCAGAGCAGGTGAGTGGTGCGGCAGCAGAGCAGGTGAGTGGTGCGGCAGAGCAGGTGAGTGGTGCGGCAGAGCAGGTGAGTGGTGCGGCAGAGCAGGTGAGTGGTGCGGCAGAGCAGCAGGTGAGTGGTGCGGCAGAGCAGGTGAGTGGTGCGGCAGAGCAGGTGAGTGGTGCGGCAGAGCAGGTGAGTGGTGCGGCAGAGCAGGTGAGTGTGTGCGGCAGAGAGGTGAGTGGTGCAGCAGAGCAGGTGAGTGGTGCGGCAGAGCAGGTGAGTGGTGCAGCAGAGCAGGTGAGTGG